CCTGCTAATAGTCTGTGTGACTATTGGAGACGTTAGGTATATTTGGTATCTAAGTCTCTGTCCACTCTGTGGACTAGTACGTGTGAGAAAGCACATGTGGTTCTGAACGTTCTAGCGGGGAACACTTCATAACATTTGGAAGAGGTTTTTCTATAGGTCAACCTATTTAGGTTTAGAACCACTTACGAGAAGTGGGGTCTACTTGGACGCTACAGGAAAACAATTCCATCAAGTCCTCAAACAGGGGTATCCAATTCTAGGGAACTCGGTGCACGTTGTGGCCTCTGCACCACTTGGAAAAACAGGGAGAACCACTCTGAATTATCTGTTGCGGTGGTACTTCACCAGACAGGAGATTCTCAGAGAAGCGGAACCTGGGTACTTGTTGCAGCAAGGTACCTGCTGAAGGCAGTGTCGACTTGAGTCCCATCCTCACCAGAGGCGCTGGGTATACAGAAGACGCTGGTTAAGGGCCACCAAAAGAAGGCACCCACACCTTGCCGAGGCTGGTTTTCAATCGAGGAAACGCAGATAGGAAGGAAGATTGGTTATAGGACACCAAGCAGAGGAAATCAAAAGCCAGAACGACCAAGCGCTCAAACGGGAGTAGGCAGGAGTTCGAAGTGACTAGCTGGGCACTTTAAAAAGCGAGCACAGGAATCACCGAGGTCAGAAAAGAGACTAGGACTCTGACTGGTTGACGTTACCAGGCAAATCAAAAGGCGTACAAGATTGGTTAAGGGCCACCAAAGATCAAAAGGCAGGAGTGCGGAGTTTTTGTTACAGGAACGAACTCAAGCACTAGCAATTACCCGTGTGGTAATCCAGAAAAGAAGCCCTCATCTGAGGCACACATTGAAGACGTGCTAAAGCCCTTCCCAGGAAAGGCAATCCAGGAATCTTAGGACAAGACAAGATTCAAAATGACTACTTTACGAGAACACGATCCAGTATCTGAGGAAGACACCCCAGAAACACGACCGGTGACTTCTGACGAAGAAGTACCACCATTTACGCTCAGTGACGCCACTACAGAGGAGTTAACAGACCTCTATGACAAAAAGTCGACAGAAGCGGTTCAACTTCAACTTCAATTTAGGCTAGGACGAGCCTACGAACCAACAGATCGCCCAAGGCTAGAGCAGCTCGAGGGTGAAATCGAAGAATTAAGACAAGTTCTTTGCGGAAGGGAAAACTTCGACGAAGAATCTCTACGAATCTTTACCGAAGCAACAGAACTTCCACGAGGAGAATCAATCCAAGTTGAACAACAGGAAGGGCGTTCACAGGAAACCGGTGGATTACAGCCAATTAATCCTCTCGAAACAAGAGCAGTTCCGCTCGAGAGATCTATCTCGGACAGCACTACTCGACCAGATTATCCAGGAATCACACATCTCAGAAGGGACCAGCCACCCCACCTACCCAACGCGCCTGGAATCACACGTTCAGTTTCAACCAGATCAAGACCAACCAGTAGCTTCCAGTTCTCAGGAAGTATGGCTACACATGCACGATACAACCCGGCTCTCGGACCACCAGTTCATCCCGGAATTTGCACCGATGCTGTCTGGAATGAGTATCAACAAGCATTGGGACTCTATGCACAATACCAGGGAGCAATCCCCAAGCAGCCAGCGGCGCGGAAAAAGAAGATGGGAAAAATCAAGGAGTTTAGGGGAGACAAACGAGAATATGCATCGTTCCTCCGAAATGTGGAACGATATCTACAGGCAAACGTGGGAGTCTACAATGACGACTTCAGCAAAATTGCCTTCGTCCTCTCCCAAATCGACTCCTCATCCACAGCAGAAAAGTGGGCTGAGTCATGGGAAGCCAATCAAATGGCAAAACATAGCAATCTTGGGACGTACCAGGATTTCAAGACGACGCTTACCAAAAAGTATGGAGGTGTCGCAACCAAGGACCAAGCCTGGCAAGTACTTCTCGAAGGAAAGTACAAACAGGACAAACAAACCGTCGACGAGTATATCGAAAATCTCGATATCCTCTACCGATATGCCGAAATCGACGACGAATACGCCAAGCTCATCCACTTCAAGCGAGGCCTTAATGAGAAACTTGCAGAAAAAGTCTTTATCACGGAAAATCCACCGACAACCTATGCAGCAGCATGCAAAGCCGCAAGAAAGGTCACGGATCTCCAGGACATTCATAGCGGAAAGACAAATATCTTCAAGTTCATCTCAGGCTCTTCAGGAAGCGGAAGAAGGACGGAGAAGGACCCTGACGCAATGGACATTGACCGGATCTCCCCAGAAACCCATCAGAAACGTTCTGTGGGTGGACTCTGCTACAACTGCGGAAAGCCAGGGCATGTCACTGCACAATGCCCGAATCCAGAATATGATCCGGCACCAGATCGCTCAGGAAAGACAACTTCATATGCCAAGACCAAGACGTCCAATTCCAGGATGAAGAAATACTCCGGATCTGGCAGACGAAGAAAGACTTCCAAGCTGACTAAATCTTACTCCAAGAGAATGGAGAAAAAACGACGACGAGTAAAAAGGGTCAAAGAAAGCGACTCTGAAGATAACTCGGAAGAGTCGGAACAGGAAGAATCAGAATCCTCATCATCGGAAGAATCAGAATCTGAATCGTCGGAATCTGAAGAAGTATCCGAACAAGAAACGGTTGTTCACAGGGTACGAAGAACTCACCCTGTTAAAACCAAAACAGTTCGCAAAATCAGGCGAACCAAGGATGAATCCAGCGACTCAGAAGAAGAGTATGTGGTTCAAAGATTCATCCCCAAAGAAGAACTCACCAGGATACGACGGGAAGATGCACTCAAACTACGCGGAGACCGTATTAAGAAACACAATATGACGATGCCCCATCTCGACGATCTTCTGGAATTCGGAGACAATCCAGATAGATATGAATATGCACGCCGATATCCACCACCCATGAAAAAAGACGATCCAGAGGGTTTGGAATTGGGTGCGCGTTGGGATCTCGTGGCACCCAGATAAAGAAACGGTCCTCGAGGAAGTAATCATACGAGGCGATATCAAACGAGGAAGTGAAATATACCTCAATATCGTCTTTCAAGATTACGACGGCACAAAAACCCGAAGTATTCCAGCAAGAGCCTTAGTCGATTCTGGAGCAAAAGGAATGTTCATCAATGAATTGTTTGCGAAGAAAGCAGGACTCCATCTTCTCAAATCGCAGAAGGAAGTCAAGATTCGCAGCGTCAATGGAAGTCCCATCAACTCTACAAATCAACGATTCAAAGGAACTGTTCATGCAGGAACGTACGAATGGAATGATGACTTCCTTGTCATCGACTTAGGAAAAGAGGACGTGATCATTGGCAATACGTGGCTTCATGATCACAACCCAATCATCAATTGGCAAACGGGTGAAGTCAAGGTCCGTCAATATGTAGAAGACGTACCCGACGAGGAACAATGGCCTTTCAAAGATAAAGATGCTGTTCATCTTCCAATCACCAAAAAGGAGAAAGCCAAAGCCAAGCGAACCTTAAGAAGGATCGACTGGTCTGATGTTGATCCTGCACCAGACGAAGCAGGAACCATTGATTCGGACCTCTTGCTTGCATACATAAAAGGAGCACCATACTTGGAGGATCAGGAAATAGGAGAAAAAGAAGCTATTTTCGCCTATCAACCTGATACTGGCATACTCCAAGAAGTTACGCTCGAAGAAAAAGAACATCGCTCGGCCGGAGAAAGGAAGATGCAGTATCTTGCACTGCGACAAACGAATGCCAAGAAAGATCCTCATCAAACAAGAAAGAAAGATGGAATCTTTTGGAAGGCATCAAATAAGGTGCAGGAACTCGCACAAAAGAAAGCACTCGAGGAAAAGAAGAATTCTAAAAAGAAAGTGATGATACCATCGTATCTCCTCAAATACAAGCAGATTTTCGAAGAAAAGGCATCGGAACGGTTACCACCGCATAGATCTTACGATCACAACATAGACTTCAAACCGGACTTTGTTCCTAAACGAGGAAAGGTCTATAGCCTATCAAAGCTGGAAGAAGAAGCTATGAATGCCTTTATCGATGAGAACCTTGTGAAAGGATACATTCGTCCTTCGCAATCTGCGATGGCATCACCTTTCTTCTTTGTAGGAAAGAAAGATGGTGGGCTACATCTATGCCAGGACTACCGCTATGCGAATGAAGGAACGATTAAGGACGCCTATCCACTCCCACTTATATCAGACCTAATGGATCGACTCCATCATGCCAAGTATTTCGTGAAGCTTGACATTCGTGGAGCATATACCAATGTCCAAATTCGTCAAGGAGACGAATGGAAGGCTGCCTTCATCACCAAGCGAGGATTGTTTGAACCCACAGTCATGTTCTTCGGAATGTGCAATGCACCGGCA